TGTCTTCTCTCAGAAGACCTGCAAGCACAGCACCTGACGTGTATGTCTTCCCAAATGCTTTCTTATGTTGGTGACAGAGTAAATCCCTCATCATGAAGGAAGCTGTGTTTGTTTTTTGTTCCAGGATGTATCCCAAGTCTCTAGAACAGAGCTGACAAATAAGTGCTTAGCGAGTATTTGTTGGTGTTGAATGAATTGGATAAACAGAGGACTTTATAGGAGGTTTTTATCATTGTGAGATACAAGCACAGAATTAATGTCTTTGGAAGAAATCTGGTTGACTTCACGTGTCCACAAAATAAATGCAACATGCCAAGTAAATGAACAGATAAAACCTAATATAGTGGAGCAAGTCTCCAGTCTCAAGGTATGCATATTCTAGTTTCAACTTCTCTGCTTGCTGTCTTATTTGCCCTGTTTTCATTGTTTTTTGTTTTTGTTTTACAATTTTTATTTTAGATTCAGTGGGTACACATTTATGGACATATTGCATAGTGGTGAGAATTGAGTCTCAAGTGGTCCATTTCCCAGATAGTGAACATTGTACCCAATCTGTAATTTCTGAATCCAAACCTCCCTCCCCATCTCTTATTGGTGTCCCCATGTCTATTATTTCTATCTTTGTGGCCATTTAACTACCACATGTTAAGTAAGAGCATGCAGTGTTTGGCTTTCTGTTTCTGAGTCCATTCACTTTATATGAACATCTCTAGCTCCACCATGTTGCTGCAAAAGACATGATTTCATTCTTGTTTATGGCTGCCCACCAACAATTGTCTATTTTCTTATTCTATTCACAGCACACAGGCCAGAAAGACCTCAAAGTTTGAAAAATTTGACATCTGTCTCCAAGGGCATATTAATTTCTTAATGGTAGTAATTTTTTTGTTTGTTTTTACTTAGGTGTATTAACTACCATATAAAGACTCGGACCAGGGTAAGTGCAGATAATTTATTGATCTCACATCAGAGAGAGAGGTTATCAACCTGTCTGTGAATTTAAATTGACAAAATTTAGAGAGAATAGAAACATTGCTTAGATAATTGCTCTGCATCAATCAGATAGTGATGTTCACCCTAACAACAACAAAAAAAAAAAAAAAACAGTGAAGGATGGAGAATAAGGAGGTTGGACAGCTTTCAAGACTCATGACTTTTAAAGATTATTTTACTGAGGAGAAATTTATATCACAGGCAATTAAACATTTTAAAGTGTACAATTCAATGTTATGTATGCATTCACAATGTTCTGTAACCGCCATGTCTCTCTAGTATCAAACATTTTTTATCATCTCAAAAGAATACCCTGTCCCCATTAAGAAATCATTCCCCATTTCTCCTGGTCCTATCCACTTTCTGTCTCTATGGATTCACCTATTTGGACAATTCCTATAAATGAGTTGTACAGTATGTGATCATTTTTCTTGTTGTTTCTTTCACCAAGCATAAAATATCTTCACGATCCATCTACATGGTAGCATATATCAATCAGCACTTAACCCTCTTTATGGATAAATAGCATTCCATTGACATACTTGTATATCCCTTTGTCTGTTGATGGAAATCTGGGTTGTTTCCACCTTTTGACTACTGAGAATAATGCTGGAATAAACATCCATGTACCTGTTTCTGTGTAAACATATGTTTTCATTGGTTATATACCTACAGGAGGAATTGCTGAGTCACATGGTAATTCTTTGTTTAACTTTGTAAGGAACTATCAAACTGTTGTTCACTATGGATGCATCATTTTAAATCCTCATCAGATATAGAATTCCTATTTTTTCACATTCTGGCCAATTCTTATTTTCCTTTTAAAATACTTTCATAACCATCCTAGTGCTTATGATCTATATTTAGAAGTTTTATTATCTTATAGTTAATTATTATCATACTTATCAACAATTCCTACTATTCTTCAGTGTTATTCATAAGAGTTACTTCTTTCTTTTTTTTTTTGGACTCAGAGTTTCATTCTGTTGCCCATGCTGGAGTGCAGTGGCACACTCATGACCACCGCAGACTTGGCCTGCTGGGCTCAAGTGGTCCTTCCACCTCAGTCTTCTAAGTAGCCGGAACCACAGATGCACACTGCCATGCCTGGCTAGGTTTTTTATTTATTGTAGAGATGAGGTCTTGCCAAGTTGCCCAGACTGGTTTCGAACCCATGGGCTGAAGCAATCTTCTCGCCTCTGCCTCCCAAAGTGCTGGGATTACAGGCGTGAGTCACTATGCCCAGCTAAGACATACTTATTTCTATTAGTCTACTGAACATCAAATTGACATCACAATAGACGTTAAAATATACCTACTCAAACTATATTTATTTTTCCTACTTTTTCCTCTCTTCCTTTCTGCTTTTATTGATGACAACATTGTCCACTTAAAATGTCCAAAACAAAAAAGTAAATATTATCCTGTTACTACTTTTCCTGTAGTTTCTATGAATGTTCATGAAATCAATGGGTTCTCTCTCTAAACATTCTTTGATTCTATCCCTTTTCTTCTGCTACCAATGTTTTCTTCTGAAATAATCTAATCATATCTCATCTGGACTAATTCAGTAGTCTCCTAACTTTTCTTCCTGTCTCTGGTAATGTCTACCTTTCCATTTTTTTCTGCAACAATTCCATATCTTTCTAAAGTACAAATAGGATCATAGTAATAATAAGAAAAGCTTTAGTTAAGCAAGATAAATAAGTTCTGGAAATCTGTTATATAGCATAGTACTTTTTGCTGACAACACGGTATTGCATTCTTAAAATTTGGGCCGAGCTCGGTGGCTCAGCCTGTAATCCCGCGCCTTTGGGAAGCTGAGGTGAGTGGATTGTCTGAGTCCGCGGGTTCGAGATCTGCCTGGGCAGCGAGACCTCATCTCTTACAATAAATAAAAAAATCAGCTGGGCGTGGTAGCACGTGCCTGTAATTCCGGCTACTTGGAAGGCTGAGGCGGAAGGATTACCGGAGCCCAGCAGGCGAGGCTACGGTGGCCGGGAGCGGCCACTGCACTCCAGACTGGGCGACCTAGTGGGACTCCAACTCAAAAAAAAAAAAAAATTTGCTAAGAGGGCAGATCTGTGCTAAGTATTCTTATTCACCCCCTAACTCACCCCAATATCAATAAAGAGGGTAAGAAGAAACTTTGGGAGATGCAAAATATGTCTATGGCCATGATGGTGATGTGATGGTTCACAGAGGTATACTATTCTCCAAGCTCATGGGGTTGTACATGTTAAATATGTGTAGATGTTTTAATGTCAGTCTTATCTCAGTAAAGTGATTTAGGGAAAAAAAGAATGGCTAATAATTATTGTTATTTAGTATTAGTATTTACTGAACATCAAGCATTGTTTTAAGAGCTGTATACATATTATGATTCAAAACTATATTGGCTTGCTATAGCCTATAAGAATAAACATATATTTATGTTTTTAACATGACTCATAATACCCTTCTAATCTGGGCCTCAACCTCTTTTTCTACCTATATCTTCACTGACACTGAAAGAGCTCTCTTTACTGAGTATACCATGTTCTTTCATCCCTTAATGTCATTGTAGAGTATATTCTCTTGGGTCTTGCCCAGAGCATATGTCTGAAAAACTCCTACTCATCTTCCAAGAATCAATTCAAATGTTGACTCAGCTACTTACCCAATTAGTTCTTCTAGGGAGGATTTGTGCTACTGTTTTATATCACAACTTGTATATACCTCTTTTGCAATGCCTTTACCTTGTGTTGTCATTATTCTTTCCAGTTTATTCTGCTGCCATCCACTATACTAAATTAGTTGAATGCAAGAACTATATTTTTATTAGGTTCTCAATAAAACTTTCCTAAGCAAATGAGAGAACCAAACACACAAAAGTAATCTACTTGGCTTCAAAATATATGCAGCCTAATTCATATATCCAGAAAGCAGTAGCCAAACTTCCCTGCATAGTTTTCATTAAGAAAATGAACCTAGCCAGACTCAGTAGCTCAGCCTGTAATCCCGCGCCTTTGGGAGGCTGAGGTGAGTGGATTGCCTGAGCCCACGGGTTCGAGACCCACCTGGGCAGCAAGACCTCAGCTCTACAATAAATCAAAAAATCAGCCGGACGTGGTAGCGCAAGCCTGTAATTCCGGCTACTTGGAAGGCTGAGGCGGAAGGATCGCCGGAGCCCAGCAGGTCGAGGCTGCGGTGGCCAGGAGCGGTCACTGCACTCCAGTCTGGGCAACAGAGTGAGACTCCAACTCAAAAAAAGAAAATGAACCTTATTATTAAATACACTAATGGAATGAATAACACCTCTCACTCTCTCTCCTTTTCTTTCTCTCTTTCATTTAAAGTACTAAGTTCATCTTTCTTCTTCTCAAAACAAAACCAAAATAAATATAGAAAGCCTAGAAATTCCATATTCTAAATTAAAAATTCCGCTGCCTAGTTTTAATCAGAAAATTAGAAACACTAATGAAAGGGAGTGAGGTCTTCCCTTCTTCCTTCCCTTTTTCCCTCCCTCTATCTCTTAACTTAAAGTTCAAAGATAATCTTTCTTCATCTAAAATAAATTTAGAGTATGGAATACCATATTTTTAGGCTTTCTATATTCATCTTGGTTTTTGTTTTAAGATGAAGAAAGATGATCTTAGTACCTCAAGTAGGAGGGAGGAGGGAGAGAGAAAAATAAACATAGTAAATTAGAAATATGGTAGTTATACTGCAAACTAAAACCTCTAAGAAAACTCTTCTTATATTAACATAGAGACAAATGTTGATGAACAATATGATAGCAGATAAAAAGACTGCATGCATCTCCAGAATATGTAAGTACTGTCTCTACCCCTTATTAACAGCGTGACACTGTGTTACCTTTCCGAGCCTGTTTCCTCACGTAAAAAGTGAAAATACTCCCCATCCCACATACACAAAGTATTGGTGTGAGGATCAAGAAAGATGATGCTTTAGAAAGGATGCTATGAAACATGACGTGCTGTACTGCAAAGTGTGTATTCACTCACCAAACACAGTTCTTGCAGGCACAGATTCTCTGTTAAGCCAGAATGACACTTGGGAGAGAATGACAGTCATGATGCAAGGCAGATATGTCTGAATCACAAAGTACCCAATTTTTCTTTTCAAGTGGAAATGAGCTGTCATTACAGTATATTCACCTGGAAGAAAAATGTAAGAAGCTTAAGGACTAATAGTCAATAGTTTGAAGCTTTTTGGAAACAGAAGGAATCAGAGATAGAACAAACTCTGATTTAAAAATGTATATATATGCTTTCTCACATACACGTCATGAAATTTGTATCATCTTTAATTCCTCATTAGCAAGCCAGAGTATTGAAAATAAAATTTTAATAATATCTAGACACTTGCAATGCATGTCCTATGGTATAATAAAGGTTGAATTTCTCTTATCCAAAATACTTGGGGCCAGAGGTGTTTTGGATTTGGAATTTTTTCAGATTTAAGAATATTTCTATTATTATCAATCGAATATCCCTAATCACCAAATCCGAAATCTGAAATGCACTAATGAGCATTTCTTTTGCGTGTCGTGTCAGTCATTGAAAATTTTCAATTTTGGAGCAATTCGGATTTTAGATTTTAGGATTAAAGAGACTCAACCTGTATTTGATTTTTTTCTTGAGATCATGCTTACTGATCAAGGAAATTCAAAGTTCATTAATACTCTCTACCAATAGATTCTACTTGCTTGGGCCCCTCATTTCCTCTGGTATCAAACACGGGTCTCTGCGCTGATCTAATTCAGTCCTCCTGGGCTCTTTAAAGTTTTGCTTTCTGGCCACATCTCCAAAATTGGTCTTCTGGTCCACATTCGCCCACTTCTCTTTGTCATTATTATTATTATTGGTATATTAAAATCATATACGTAAGTGCAAAATGGAAAATAAAGTATATGAACAAGTATTGCATAATATGTAAATCAGAAAATTTTCAAGGAAAAATGATCAGAATGGAGTGTACTTTTATGCTAGAGTTGTGGGGTACAAGTGAGGATTTACCACATAAGTAAGGAGCATGGTGAATTTTGGCTTCTAGTGGGTCCTTACTCTCCGTTATAGTAGACTGGTACCCAGCATTAAGCCTGTCACTGTTTCTGAATTTCTCACTGTTGCATGTCCATTCTAGTTTGTTTTAGTCACTTCTAGCTAATCCTCACATCTACCTTTCTCTCTGCTTTCTGGGTTTTAATCACTGCCAGATGAAAAATAATTAGTCCACACAGCTGCATTTTTTTAAAGATGAAGGTGGCCTTTAGAGAGAAAATCAGCTTTCCACCCAGGCCAGTAGTAATTAGCCATAATTCAAAAGTTGAATAATCATAAATTATCCAGAATGGGGGAGCAAGAATTAGAAAACTAAAGAATTGTTATCACATTTTGGAAGGCAAATGTTAAAATTTGCTGGTCTGAGAAGACACACGCTTTTAGAATACATAGTTTATTTTAGGCCAGTGTTTCTCAAACTTTAATGTACATATGACTTTTTGTGGAATCTTGTTAAACTGCAGATCTGATTTAGAAAGGGTTAAGGCCTAAGATTCTGAATGCCTAAAAAGTTTCCAAGCATCATCTATGCTGTTTGTTCTGAGAACTTAAGAGCAAAAGATTTTAAGCAATCTGACACATTTCCAATGACTTTAACCCATTAATATTCTTAGACACTAGCCTCTGTTCAAACTCATGTTACTAACCTGTACTGGACTTAATTGTCTCCTTTCCAATTGATTGGCCCAGCAGATCATACTGATTTAACCTGGAGCCATCAGGAGCAACCTGTACTGAATCAGACGCATTGTAAGTCCAAATATAAGTGACCTCTGATGTTGTGTATGCATCTGTAGAAAATCAGAAGAAAAAAATATTGTAAGCACTTTAATAAGAACCACGGAGTGCTATATCAAAGACTGTGTATTTCATAGAATCATTGTTCACTAAAAAAATAACTAAAGAGCACATATTTTAGTGCAAAAATGTTTCCATATTGAATTTACTTCAATATGAAGTGGGTGAAGCAGACCAAAAGTGACGATTACGACCATGAGAGTATTTTCATTGCAATGACTTTGAGAAGTGAAGAGGCGTTTTCTTTTTAAAAGCTGAAAAGATCACTGGGCCTTAAGATGGTTATAGTATCTTCTTAGTCCCATGGTGGCACAGGAAGACAATGTGGTAAACAGGTTGAGAATGCCCATAGTCTAGCCAAACAGTCTATTTAGAAATAGCAATCACTCATGAAATAATACTAATAAACTATAATGATATTACTTTTCTGGACATAAAAGTAGCCTGGTGAAGAGTTAAATGCCTTAGCTATCATGGCAGAATCCCATTTGTTAGAAGAATAAAAATTGATTATTTTAGAAGATGTAAAATAAATCACAATGCTATAAGAGCAAGTTGCAAGTCCCTTTCAAAGCATGTTTATTTTTTAATGAATTAATGCAGGCAGACATCACTAGACTACGTTTTCATAGCAGCCCAGTTATGTTATAGATTGGCAGGAAGTGTCAAATATAAGAGACCAGATATAACTTTCTGATGTATTGGCCAGGATATGGAACTTAGCAGAAGAGAGGTGACCGTAGAGTAGGTCTAAGTGACATATCCAGTCTTAGTGTTTCTCTGGCACAGGCATTTCCCTTGTTTCTGGACTGTTCCCTAGAAGGACAACTGACCTCTCTGTGTAGAGTTTCTCTCCACAGTTCAATAGACATAAAACTCTTGCTATACTACAGATTTTTATAAGAACTTCTGTGAGATTGTGCTCAAGAGAATGTTTAGAGATATTAGTGACTCCTGAAAACTCAGCATCACAGTCACATTCTCAACTGATGAGGAGAAAGATCTGGTTGACTCTGGCAATAGCTCTGTCTTCAGTTCTCCGGGACACTGAAAATCTCACTTCTCTACCCTCTGTATGTTTTCTAGGTTTAATACCCCTGTGCTGCAATGGTCTTTGTTCTGAAATTGATCCAAGGTCTATGATCACAAGTCAATTTCCAACCAGTCATCAGTAATAATGGAGTGAATGTTTATGAGTTTGTTTATGAGTTTGTTATGAGTGAATGTTTATGAGTTTGTTTTTAATGACATGCTACAATATTGCCTGGTTTTCTGAATGCCACTAATAAGTGTTAATATCAGTGGAATACTATTTTCATCTATATTCAGTAGTAAATTATATTATGTGAAATAATTTTTTAAATAGGATTCTTAAAAAAGTATGTATACATTTATATCTATATAATTTTAATAGCAGAGACACATTCGTGTTTGCATATGAATGAATTATATTTATGAGATTTGATTTTCTAGTTAATTAATTTCAATTCATTAATCATTAATGAATGAGAAGATTTTTAAATGTGGATAACTAGCGATTCATTTGCAGATTAAGTGGCTTGTTTTGTTTCCTCCTTGAATATATATTCTAGCCCTCTCTAATGAAATTTCAAATGGCACGGAATTTAACAGAACAAAAACCAAGTTACATGTGCAACTTTACATCTGGAGAAACTCTTAATACCCTATAGCTGTGATTCTTAATAACTCTTAGAAGTTTTTTTTTTTTTAAGTGTAAGTATACTACTTTTGAATTATAACGTTACTTTTAAATACAAATAAGAAAAAAGGCCAGACTCGGTGGCTCAGCCTGTAATCCCAGCACTTTGGGAGGCTGAGGTGAGTGAATTGCCAAGTTTGCGGGTTCAAGGCCAGTCCGGGCAACTTGGCGAGACCTCATCTCTACAATAAATAAAAAATTAGCCACTGCAGAAGCGTATGCTGCTAGTTCCGGCTACTTGGAAGGCTGAGGTGGAAGGATCATCAGAGCCTAACGGGTCGATGCTGGGGTGACTGTGAGCATGCCGCTGCACTCCAGCCTGGGCGATGGAGTGAGACTCCAACTCAAGAAAAAAAAAGAAAGAAAGAAATGAAACCCTATAAAAGTGATGACATTTTAAAGAATAAAATGCCGATAGGCAGGAACTCTGTATGATTCATGAGTATACTTCTAGCATCTGGTACAGGGCCTGACACACAGGAAAAGTTCTCAGTCCATTCTTGCTAAATGAATGAATAAACTAATAGTATTTTATTTATGTTATTTATTGTCGTGGAAGATGGAAATCTAGAGAAGAGCTCAAGAATTTATTAAGGAAAATGACTGATGCTTCTTATGTCTTTTAAGAAGACAGTTACTGCATTTCATTAATTAGATAGGAATATGGTTTTTAGATTTTGTGTCTGGTGAAATAACATGTAGCAAATGGTTATGCAATACAGAATCAGGCTCCCCCAATACACTAATATACTTATAAACCAAGATGCCATAATAATGTTTGTCAATAAAATATCAAAGACAGTTTTACAAAATTCACTGTAAATTCCACCTTTAAATTAGACTGTCATTAAATAATTTTATTTAATTCTATTGAATAATCCATTTGTGAGTCCTAGGCTGCATTAAACAGATGCATACTGACAAATTCTTAATATTTGGTAACCAATAAAAATATTCCAAAGTCATTTTTTGTTATTACTTTTTAGCCCAAAAGACAATCTGCAATTTCTTTTAGGTTAAAAAATATGCCTAGACTTCCATTCATTGGATTTTTAAATCAAGTTAAACAGCAAGGCAAAGTATTAAGGCATGAGACAACAGGAATACACAAGACAAGACTGAGTTTAAAACAGTAAACATATTTTTTTAAATGCTTCTTTTATTTGAGAACAATGATGAAGTTCCAGAAATTCAGTTGTTTTTTTTGAGGGGAAGACTTTTAAGTAAGAGAGAAATAAATGACTAGAAGTAAAAGTCATAACTGCTTCTGCTAAACTTTGTTGTTCCAACATCATAAGGTTTGACTTGGCTTGGTGTCCATACTTTTAACACTTATACATCAAGCACCTACTGTAGGCAAGGATAAACAAAAGAATATAAAAATGGTTTGCTCAGAAAATAAATGTAAAGAAAACAAAATAAATAATAATTATTTAAAGAGCAAATGTCTAACGGCAACCTTTGTGTGATGCTCACATCACTTCTGGATACCGAAAACTTATTCTCAAGCATGCGATATTTCACTATGCTATAAATACACTAGAAGGGATTTTAAGATTCCATTTAAAACATTTTCAAGGGCATTTGTTTTATTTTCAGAATTGAGACATCACATCATTTATATTTGATGTCTTAATGGCAATACCTTGTCCACTAAAAATAAAATAAAAAGGAAAAAGTCTTTCCTTCTTACATCATTATTACATCTTGAATAAATTTTTTTATATCAAGGCTTTTCTATTTTTTCTTGAATGCCACTTATGCAATGTAAAGAAGTTTTTTTCTGCTGCGTGTGCTGTGGTTTTTCTCAGCATCATGTTTACGTTGTATAACATGATTGACTATCTTAAATAATACTGAAAGAAATGCCAGGATTAAAGTGATGGTTTCCATGACAATAAAAGAAGCCTTTGTTGTTAAACAAAGAAGAGATTCTCAAAGAAAATTGAGAACCAACACCTTTCGTAAGAACAAACAAGATTAAACTCATTCCACAAAACTGTGGTTATCAACATAATTAAAGGGCTTTGCATTCATATTAGACATCATTCTTTTCTTTTGCTTAATACTGTCTGTGAGACAAAGGCCCACTATTCAGGCATACATATTTTTAATCAGGAGAGACTGGTGCATTTCTATTCAACAGAGAATAAAAAGTCAAAAGCCACTAAGAATGGACAAAGATGGGGGTGCCAAATAAAGCATCCTCTCTAAAAAGGTCAGGAGATGGGTCACACACGAGAGGGAAGCTGCTTATCTGTGTTCATGGATTTATTCTGAACTGCTTGGAATGTCATGTGGGCCTAGGGAGATGATTTGACCTTCCCTCTTTTCAATTATTCCAGAAGTGTGATGCTTCTGCTTGACATACAAGATATAACCCCTATGACCTAAAGAGTGGCCAGCGGCACTGAGGCGACCCTGAAATATTCCATGCACACAGAAAGTGCCTGCATGTAGCAATCCAGACACATCATCTCCTTCAAATTAATTTTAGAAAATAAAAACAAATTCCTACCATGAGTTAAACAGCAGAAAGACAACTGCACAAATTCAGCCCCTGTGCCTATCACTTGCCAACAGGCTGATTACCACTTTAATAAACAATAGAATCTATCATTTACAATTCATTCTCAGTTGAAAAAGAAACACGTATTGTGCTTGGAAAAGCATGTCTAGTGCTTGGAAAGGAGGGTAAATTACAGTCCCAACCTCCAAGGAACTCCTGGTTTGATTTTACACGTGTACTTATTTTTATCGGCAGTAAAATAAGTGATGATTTAAGCATCACTATTAAAATAGAATGACATTCGAGAGAACTAAAGGGCTTGTCCGTTAGTTCCTTGAGGGCAATCAGCATGTCTTTTACCTCTGTATCTTAATAGACATGTACTAAGCATACCATAATAGAAAATCAAGCAGTGCTGCTACCTCTTATCTTATTGACCCAAAACATGTACCTTCATCCCTGTACTTACAGCTGCCAAATTTCAGAGGACATGAGTGAGCATCCATTGGAAAATCCTCCAAGTGCATAGGACATTCAGCTTGAACTGTAAGCCTAAAAGTCAAAATTCCACTCTTTGTTTAAGTACATTTGCAAGCCAAGAAAAATCACTCATCACTGTTGTCAGCAGAAGGTATGATGAGGTTGAGCCTTCATTACAATATTGTATTAGGCTAATTCACATTTAAATGCCTTTTTGTTCATTCACATTGAGGTGATCCCTCAGAAGACACTGGTATATACAAAATCTAAGCATAAATAACAAAAACATCAGCATAGCCAGAAAGCAAGCACTGTTAGGATCCACAACTGTTTACTCCTGTAGATAATTTCATTAAAGTTTGAATCATATCAAATTAATGCTATATATGTTAATTTACTTACAAAATGGCAGTTTCATATGATTCAATCTAATACATAATATCCAATTTACTTGGAAGCCTTATTAAATAAGGTCTATCTCTCTGAATTAAAAAAAGTTTTTGTTTACTTTAGAGTAACTTCATAAAGAAGATTAATATATTAAAGTCTTGCTTAAAAATCACTTAAACTGCTGGGTTCAGTGGCTCAGCCTGTAATCCCGCGCCTTTGGGAGGCTGAGGTGAGTGGATTGCCTGAGCCCGTGGGTTCAAGTCCCGCCTGGACAACTTGGCAAGACCTCATCTCTACAATAAATCAAAATGAGTCGGGCGTGGTAGCGTTCATCTGAGTTCCAGCTACTTGGAAGGCTGAGGTGGAAGGATCGCTGGAGCCCAGCAGGTCGAGGCTGCAGTGGCCGGGAGCGGCCACTGCACTCCAGTCTGGGTGACAGAGTGAGACTCCAACTCAAAAAAAAAAAAAAAATTACTTAAACTTTTGATGGAATATATGATAAAATGTTAAAAATAAAGCTGTATAAGCAAAATTCAAGTCATAGTCTTAACGCTGTACTTAATAAAAATGTGTGAAGAATAATTAACCAAAAAATCAGTTCCTAATAACTGAAGCGATTCTTAAGATTTAACACTCTAGCCGGGCTCGGTGGTTCAGTCTGTAATCCCGAGCCTTTGGGAGACTGAGGTGAGTGGATTGCCTGAGCCCGCGGGTTCAAGACCCACCTGGGCAGCGAGACCTCATCTCTACAATAAATCAAAAAATCAGCCGGGCGTGGTAGCGCATGCCTGTAATTCCGGCTACTTGGAAGGCTGAGGAGGAAGGGTCGCTGGAGCCCAGCAGGTCGAGGCTGTGGTGGCCGGGAGCGGCCACTGCACTCCAGTCTGGGTGACAGAGTGAGACTCCAACTCAAAAAAAAAAAAAAAATTACTTAAACTTTTGATGGAATATATGATAAAATGTTAAAAATAAAGCTGTATAAGCAAAATTCAAGTCATAGTCTTAACGCTGTACTTAATAAAAATGTGTGAAGAATAATTAACCAAAAAATCAGTTCCTAATAACTGAAGCGATTCTTAAGATTTAACACTCTAGCCGGGCTCGGTGGTTCAGTCTGTAATCCCGAGCCTTTGGGAGACTGAGGTGAGTGGATTGCCTGAGCCCGCGGGTTCAAGACCCACCTGGGCAGCGAGACCTCATCTCTACAATAAATCAAAAAATCAGCCGGGCGTGGTAGCGCATGCCTGTAATTCCGGCTACTTGGAAGGCTGAGGAGGAAGGGTCGCTGGAGCCCAGCAGGTCGAGGCTGTGGTGGCCGGGAGCGGCCACTGCACTCCAGTCTGGGTGACAGAGTGAGACTCCAACTCAAAAAAAAAAAAAAAATTACTTAAACTTTTGATGGAATATATGATAAAATGTTAAAAATAAAGCTGTATAAGCAAAATTCAAGTCATAGTCTTAACGCTGTACTTAATAAAAATGTGTGAAGAATAATTAACCAAAAAATCAGTTCCTAATAACTGAAGCGATTCTTAAGATTTAACACTCTAGCCGGGCTCGGTGGTTCAGTCTGTAATCCCGAGCCTTTGGGAGACTGAGGTGAGTGGATTGCCTGAGCCCGCGGGTTCAAGACCCACCTGGGCAGCGAGACCTCATCTCTACA